GACCCATCTGACATACCTACTTAACACTTTCACCGTGGCGCGGATATATATATATATTCCTCACCTCGTGCGGCAGCGTTTGAATTAGCGGTCCGTTTCGTGGGGCAGCGCAACGCCAAATTATAAAATTAAAATCTTGAAATTAAAAAATTATAAATTAAAATTATAAATATATTATTATATATAAATATATATTATATATGTAATATAATAATTCTATTTTTATATACAAGCGTATTTTAATATTTTTTCTATATACAAGCGTTACCCATCGGCGAGTCATGCCGCCTCACGGAACAAGTATGACCCACCGGTGGGTCAGGCCGGCGTCAACGTGTTAAAAGATGAAAACTACAGTCTACATGCCAAAAATTTATTTGTTTATGGCTTGGATTTTTCTTCCTGAACAACCCCATTCCCCAACACACATAAAGCTAATGATGTACAAAGAATTATGATCGTAAACGAAAATTAATGCTTCCAACGGAGCTCAATTAACAGATCTGTTGAATGTGAAAAACAGTACTAACCGCTCCACTAGTGCTCGATATGACGCACCATTAATTTCAAGAAAACAGGATTCATTCAACCCCAAATAATTTTAAAATTATGAAAATACGTTTACTGAAAGACCGAAATATATTCACCAGACATCGTAATAACACAAATGAAAGTAAATAGATACTTGGGCAAATAGCTCTAATGTATGTTGCCATAATAAAAATACCCAAATGAACAGACGTGCCAAAATTATAACGTTGACTTTTTTAACTACTTATAAAAAGAGTAACACTTTACTGTAAAAACAAACAATATAAATTAAAAGTTTAACTTAAGAGTTATGCGTAATTTGGATGAAGAGGGTGGTATGCGAAGAATTCAGTGGACTAGTAGGTAAAGAGCTCAGAGCTCTTCTAGGAAGTTAGCAACTTCAGCTAGGTCTGCTCATACCCAATGCTTTACAAGCACTTCGAAAAGCGAGAGAGAAATGTGTTGTCCACAGAGCCGTACGAAACAAAACCTGTTTTCGATCGACAACAACCTCGGAGAGAAACGAGGCGGAACTGAGGCAATGTAGTGATAAAAATAAAATAAAAGGAAAGTTGCAACAAGGTAAGGTTGAGACCTAAGAGAAATAAGACACCTTTAGAATTTAAAGGTTGGCCTTGGAATACTCTTTAATGGGGGACGTCTTAAAAACGCTACACACATAACATTCCTGATGGTGTTCCCACAACAATAGCATTAGGAAAAGTGCCTGGTTATTGACTTGAAAGTATCGCTCAGTAGGCACAGAAAATTTTACTGAATACAAGAACTGGTTTCTAGGGCTGCCATGAAAAACGCTTTGTAAGCGTTGTTCTTACTTGAGGAAAAGTAATTTGGATGGAAAGGGATTTAAGATATCTTGAAATACACAACACGAATTCCCGGCGGAATGCAGAAAGCGTTAAGTAGACTTTAATGACGCATAATAAGTACAAAAAAATCACAGAAATAAAGCACCACTAAAGTTTTAAAAATCCCTAGGTACGAATTCTTTACAGAAGCTAATGCTTTTGAATACATGCGTGAAACAGAAAATCAAGAACATAACACACATTTCATCAAATTAACTAACCACCAAGAAAAATGAAATAATGTCTTATAGTGTATTATATTATATATAATGTATGTGTATGTAATCGCTATGACGAGACAATTTAATTATTTCAAAAATTCCCAAACTTCGGTAATCAAGTTCCTAATAAATTAAATATTTTAAAGACAGATCGAGGTTCTCAAAATAATCAGTTGCGGTAATTAACATCTAGGTACTTAAAAATATAATGCAACATAGTTTTAATGTCAGAGGCCCACCAGCGGCCAGGCGGTAAAGTCGCTGAACACTGGTAGTTCGGTCCGAGGTTCGAATCCCGCGAACGGGCTGGCTGCATAGGCGATTTCGTGGTTTTCCCCCATGTGTAACGTGTATACGAGCCAGTACCCTTAGAAAGTCCTCCACGAAGGCATCCCTCCCCTTAGGCAGATAGCCCTAGTGTGCTTTGCCATAATTAAATACACCAAAGTCTTAATGTCAGAATTTCGTGAACGAAATTAAAATTACCCACATGGTTGGCGCCAAACCCGGTACAACAAGTGTGGTCACACGAAGCGGCAGAGCTTAAGCAAATGTTTTAAATTTTAGGAGTCGCAGAAATCGCAATGGGCGGGAAAAAAAAAAAAAATCTAGCGCCAGCTCAGAATACCTATGATTATTATAGTTTAAATAAAATGTCAGAAAGTACTAACACTATGCTCCCTCGGAAAGATTTCGGTTTTTAATGAGTTAAAATGAAGGCTGAGGAATACGTTTTAAAATCGGTACTGCAGACTAAACTGCAACCACAAAATGGAACAATTTCGATCTTCAAAATTTAAATTCAACAGGAGCAAATACAATTTTCTAAATACCTATATAATTTGATATTAAAGTGCTAAAGCGAAGATTTCAAGAGAACAATCTCCCTACATCTATTCAAATGTTCTGTAGCTAAACCCTCCAGAAGGGGAACTAATTCTCAATCTTAATTTTTCGACAGAGTCACATGCTCCCCAATGTGCTTTTCCCTTGCTTTTTTTCTTCTTAATACTCCTAGCGGGAGAGGAATTTTCCAAATTTCAGAAAACATTTTTTTAAGGGGTAATTAATGCGGCAGTGTAAGTGCATGATAAATTAGCTGGAAGGCACTCTGGAAATTTAAACCAGCATTTTTTAATTTTAGCTGGAAATTTAAACCCTTCATGACGTCAAGGAATATTATACTATCCCCCCGTCTCGTACGGAATTACAAAAGTTTAATATATATCCTACTGAATATGTAATATCACCTACCAACTGGAAAACAAACTAAACACTTTCTACACCTCAATCAGCTTCAAATATATGAAATAAGAAATACATCAGTACATGCTTCATGCCGCAAACCATTAACAGTAAATTCAAGAGACATCGCTTCTCCCAGCTGTCTATTTATTCCCTTGAACATTACAACCCATTTTAAAATGAGAAGTCAATTCTAATTTCTCATATAACAAGCAGTGGACTAGTCTATATAAAACATATATATGGTCACCGTTTAGAACAGAGCATCAAGTAGATTTCAGACTAAATAACTCTCATACGTAAAAAGTAACCAAAATCAAACACCAAACAATAAACATGCTATACATAACACGATGCCGCCATTTTTAATCAGTAACTCGGAAAGGTTTTATTTTAAAGATTTTCTTCGCACTTTTCAATTCGTTCCCCGCCCACTCAGAAAAATTGTTTTCATTCGATGTCCAACGTAGCTCAGTGGTTGAGCTATTGCTTATGATAAGACATACACTGAGATTTACCCATTTTTTCCCCTTAATGAAAACTATTAAAATACGCAGGTTTACATTGAAATAGTTACAAACAACGTTATCCACGACAGTGTTAGATGCAGCAAATATTTAAAACCAATAAGCAACTGCTATATTTATCTTTTATCACTATACAAAATTTTGACAAAACTTAAGCTATGAGTAACGGGATGACGACTTTAGCTGTGCTATAGCACGCTATTATTAGGTCATTCCGATAAGCAACGTAGAAGTGAGAAGATGCGGTACTGCTTACATTAGAAACACCCTCGTAGTTAAAAACCACGTGGTTAGGAGCATCAGACAAAACACAGAAAACAGACAGACATGAGGATTGCGAAACCGGGGTACCCTGGTGGCAAAGAGAAGAACTAAGTGACCCTAACACTCCCTCTTCCCCTTGAAAGGTACCAAAAGTCGCGCGCGTCTGTTTTGCCTCACAGATCAGCCAAGGGAAAGCGATGAGTATTCCGGTAACGCAGAAAGCAAACGAAGAAATGTCAACAGCCGGAAGATTGACCATTCGTACGCATACCTACTTACTTTGCGGTAATGCGTACTGCATAATTCAAATTTACGAACTTGTTTTTATGAGAAAAATTTCGTAATACCAGCGGTGTGTATCGAATGCAGAATTTTCGGAGTTCGATACAGTTAAAATGCATAATTTTACTGACATAATCCTTCCTAACATTATTATTTGAAAGATAAATATTTTTTATTGAAAACTCAGTAACACTATTTTTTTTTAATTATTATTAATTCTTTTTTCATTCAGCTGTCATTTAAAATTTAACAGTCTTTCCATCAAAATATTTAGCCAATAATACACAGTACCCATGTAATTGTTTTTAAAAGAAAATCTAAGATAGGTAGGTTTAAAGAACTTAGTCACAAATAATCAATAAAAAATATCCAGCATCATAGATTAAATATGGCAGCAGAATTTTTTTTTTCCCTTGCCTAAAAACTGAGGGAGTAGTTCTTCCTAAATTAAGAAAAACCTTTACTTTGAAATAAATTAATGCCAAAGCATTAGAAATCTCTAATATCCATTGAGGAATAACTTATGAAATGACAACTGATAATGCTGAAATAGATATATTACCTACACTTCATTTACTTAAAATCCTTAGGAAGAGTGACATGTCTATTTCTTGCAAAACTGTACCTTTCCTGATTAAGAACATAAAATTAAGCAAAACATTATCCTATATTGGATTCATACCAATACCCATTCAAACATATCTTAGATGGCACTGTTCCCTACTGAGCTCCTTTAAATTATGTGTGTTATTATCTTTTATTCTTTCCGAATAAGTATTACCAACAGAGAGTGTTCTTTGATTACTAAATAACTAAGATATATCTTACATTTAGAAAAAAAAAAATTTACTACCATTCTGTCCCATAACAAATGAGATCTCACAACTTTATATAAAATTTACGTCAAGATGATGGTTTACCCAATTTTTATTACAATGATGCTTTTTTTTTTTTTTTTTTTTTTTGGAATACTGTATTAAAATTTTAAAACATCCCCGCCAAGTTTTACCAGAACATAAAATGGCAGTCAAATCTTAAAATAAATTTATCATGCATCTTACCTTATATATATTTGCCGCAGACTTAGAGCAGAATTTACACAGGATTTGGGTAACTTCAAGATCTCAGCTACACTATCCCATTTTTGATGTTCTATAACCTGTACAGAATGAAGAAATCTGGTAACATATTAGCATTAAAAATATAATCCATTATCAGCCAGAAAGGATAATCATTAACTTTTATTGGAAGATATTCACAATTTTGCTTGATTTTCCAATGTTCAATGTTTTCTAATTTAGTTAAGCTTGATTTTTCCAGCGAGACTGATAATGTATTAATATATCTAATGAATACAAATACTATAATTTCATTCTTAAAATATGAAGAAAAATAAATATTTTTGAAAACTTAACATAATTAAAAAAAAAAGATTCTTAATATAGTTGAAAACTAAATAATTTCTGTCTCAGTTCTGGTAGAGCAAAAAGATTTCATCTGTCACATACATCTATGTATAATACACATTATAGTATGAAACAACTGGCAAACAAAGAGAATATTTGAATCAAAAATAAATATTTATAATGAAAAATTCTTTATTAGTGCTCTCATTTAACATATCAAGTTTAACAAATTTTTAAATGGAGATTATAGCCTTTAGGATTGATTAACTGGAAATTAATGCCCATTATTTAATTTTAACCAATCTGCATCTGCAAGTGGATTAGCCTCTCAGCTATAATGTTCATTTGGCAGCAGACACAAACCAGACAGCCTATCCTGAAAGTTCATGGGCTGATGGTACTTATGTTTATCTGAAAACAGTGCGAACAATAAGTGGCACTATCCGTGTGTTTAGTATAAGTATTACTTTTTAAAAAATTGTATAAAGATGCTTAATGAAAAAAATAACTACTTAATAAAACTGTTTTTCTGTGCATAGTAAGAAGACAAGCAATGAATAAACAGAGTAATGAGTTACTGTGAAATTTTCACAGACTTGGAAGAGTGGAATCAAAGTTCATGAATTGTTCAAGCAGGCGTATGGAGAGTCTACAGTGCAGCAATCTGCCTTGTTCAAGTGGCAAAGTAATGCAAATGGGAAGGAGGGAAACAAAATTAATATGACTGGCAGGATGACAGCAAGAGGGCTTCCACACTGTACTTTCTGATGAAATAACACTTGTATCTGATCTTGTAAGTAAATAAGACAACTAACTGTTAGAATAATTAATGAAAAGCTAAATTAAAAAAAAATACCTATTCTCATGATTTTGTTTAAGAAATTGAGAATGTGAAAACTGTGTACAAAGACTAGTCAAAAATGGTTGATTAGTGGGGGAAAGGATGAATTGTAAGATACTCTCAAGTTTTTTACCATTTTAAACATGCTAATAAAAGCACGGCTTTGTACGTAATCTAAAAAAATTTTTAGTTATGCTACTAAAATGGATTTCTAACTTAATACAATTAAATTTTAGAAGCATTATCAGCTTACAATAAGAATAAAATAAACCATTAACAAATTTCTTTAAATAACAATGACAGGCTTGAGAATATAATTTCAAAGCAATTAGTTCTGTGCTTACTTAAATACATATGGAAAACTTAGGTGAGAGTAGTAAAATTAAAACTGCATGCTGATATAATATTAGTAAAGAGTTTTTTAATAATAAAAAATATGATAAACATAATATAGTTTTTTTTGGGTGGGGAAGCTCCAACATGTAAATAACCAGAAACAAAAATTTCAAAAAACAATAAATTGACTTTTGGATAAAATAATAAAACTCCTAAATTATTTTCTGGAGAAACTTGAACCGTACTGATTTGTTATGGAAATAGAAACTTCTTCAAATATTTAAAAAATTACATTCCATGAAGACAGTTTAATTTACATAATATCTTACCTCCCCTGCATTAACCTCATATCATCGTCCAGATTCAGGAAACTTGGTAAGAATTATGCAATACATTCAGCAAAAAATGCAAAACAGGTTTTTATATCAATAAGCAGAAAATGTTTTTTTAATTTACATCTGAGAATTTTAGGAGGGTACCATAAATCACATTTAAATGTTCAAAACTAATATTAAATGTAATTAACAACGCTAAAAAATATTTTACCTTGGGTTTTGTACTATCTCCGTTATAATAATTGAAATATAATATGTTGAATACCTTAGGAAAATTTATAGCTTTAAATTATGTTAAGTTTCAGTGATACCGAATTACACCACAGAAACAATACTTTTTATGTACAACTTTGTAGCTTCCTTGGGGGAATGCAAAAATTAAATTAAAAAAGCCCTTATATATAGTTTTGAAAATTATTTAAATTAATTATTAAAAAATATAATTTTTAAACTCCATTCTACCTTAAGAAATAACAAAGAATTAAAAAAGATTAATTTTGTGCGTATCAATACAAACTAATTTTTAAGCCACAACATATATTTCATTAGTGATTTATGATTGCTAACTAGGAATTAATATAAAACTACTCAATTTTAATTATCTATAAATTAATTTAATGCATAAGTAATTTAAGTAAATAAAATCACTTAAATCCTCCTTTTCATAAAATCCTTAAATAATCATAATTCTCCATAATAAAATAATTCCTTACCATGCTGTAAGGAATTATTTATTTATATAATCTATAAAAGTTAAGAAATAATATTTAAATAATATTGCATTCATTATATTCACCATTATCTTATCTCCATTGTAAACTGCAAGCAGATATTTTCAATATAAAAATGACCAAGCCTACTTAATTTGAACACCAAAGAAAGCAAAAACCATGCAATTAGAAAGGAAAATTTATATTACTTTACATATAAAAATAATAAAGTAAGATGACATGTGGAAATTATGAAATGAAAAATATGAAACAGTTTGTGCAATAATGAAGTATTTATGACTTTAATGGAATCAATTTCCAAAAAAGCTCATATATATATATATATTATTTTTTTTTTTCAATTAAACATCTCTTTTAATACAAGTTGTTGGTGTGCATGTGCTAATGCTTTCTCTTTAATTTTATAAAAAGACAATTTCTTGTTCAATTACACAGTTCCACAGAATAAGTCCTGCAAATGATGTGTCGAAAATTCCCACTAAATTGCCAATCGAAATATTTTCATTCTAAAAAATCTCTTTGTCACCAGTAGTGATATCTATGGATTTAAAATCATACTGCAGATTTTGTGATCCATTAGCTAATTGCTAATTGTCACATTATCATCATAATGGTTTTGGTTTATGTGATTATGGCAAAGCCTCGAGGGCTATCTGAGAAGGGAAGGGATACCTTCATGGAGGACTTTCTATGTTCCTTACATTCTTCCCCTCTTAAATTGTCAACCAAGAAAGGGCAAGACCCATTGAATTAGTTCTGTTTCTGCGATTCCTCTTTCAGCGATTTTCAAAATTCTTCCTGTTCCTGTGAAATCGAAGAGTACAGTCACCTCCCCCGCAACTCCTCAGAGGATGTCACAATAAGTCATTAAGAAGAGGTGAGCAGTTTCTTTATGAAGAAGTTAGTCTTCATCTTAACATTGTTAGACTGATGATGTATCTTAGTTTAGCCTCCTCTCGAAATCTTTAGCTTCATTCTATTTGTAATTCTGTTACAATATCAATTATTATTTTCGTATCTTATCTTAATCAATATGATGTTTTAAGACATTATTGAAACTAAAAAAAGAATATGTTCCACTTTCTTAAATTTACAATTTAGAAGCTGGAAAACTATATAATCAAGGCTTTGACATATTAACCAATATTCCACAGTTTTCAAATGTTAAAACAGCTCTATACAAATCTAGACAAAGTGCCAAAAGATATGCTTGAGAAGCTACTTGGTGCAAGATTTAGAAATTCCTAGCAAATTATTAGCAATAGATAATAACTTTAGCTCTTGTTGTTCGATGATTTAAAAGACAGACAAATTTTAATTTCTTTTTAAGTAAGAGAAGGAAAGCAATGAAAAGTGCCAAAATTTTCTTTATGTATGGAACTTTTAAAATTTGCTCAAAGCTTTCTCTCCATGTTGACATTGGGAGTACCTCTAATGAGGTTAATGTTGTTCCTGTGTTGTTTTGCTTACTCCTGGATAAGCGAAAGCAAACTTATGAGAGATTATTTTGTTTAATTAAAAATCGTCTTTCTGATTAAGATACTAAAGAAATTGTGATAGATTTTAAAATTGCAGTTATAATTTCACTGAAAAATCTTTTTTCTTCCATAAAAATAAGAGGTTGCAATTTCCACTTAAATCAGCGGTTCTGGAAAAAGATACAAGGGCATAATGAAGAAATTAAAACTCACCCTCAAAATATGCATGTCCTTTGCATACATATCTGCGGAATATGTCAATGATAGTTAGATGTCTGTACAAGAACAGAATTAATTACATTACATTACGTGGTGTGTGTACTTGGCTATTCCGATGAGCGCAAGTCCATTCAATTGAGATTCAGATGTTACATTTCTCAATTATGACTTTTTTTATGAGTTTGCGGGCTAAGGGAAAAAAAAGCTTCTTTTGGCTTGGACAAGCTTTGACAGAAGTTGCAATGATATTCGAGGTGTATTTTCTTTTTGTAACGACTATTTATTCTGAGAGGTTTACTATAACTCACCTTTATGCAGAATTTCGGAAGAATATTATTTTTACTTTAGGAAACAATCTTTTAGTTGATTGCCAAAATCATGTCAGAGTTTGAACATCTCTTCCCTTTTCAATACAGTTTTATTCATGCAAAAATCCGAGATGGTAAATATTTTTCGATTACTATTATAAATTCTTTTTTAAATATAGAAATTTTTTGCTTTTCTACATTTCGAGAGAGGCCAAGGCACAGTCGGCCCCCACTATGTAACCCCTTTGGAAAGGGGCCTAATGAAAATCGATGATTTCGCGGAAAGAGGAAGACACCGACCCATCTGGCCATGAGGGTGGTAAAGAGTCATTCTGCTGGCCTTTTTGTAGCAGAAAAATCTACTCAACATTCACAGGAAATCAAACCACAGATCTTTCAGTTTACTGGATAGACATGCTAACCACTGTACCTCAAGGGCACATACAGGAAGTATTATAATTTCTTACATTGAAGACATCACACTTAAACTACAGGTCTCACTAAATAAAAAACAGAGACACCAAATGTTGATATCCTTTCCAGGTCAAAGGTGCTATCTTTCAGGACATTAGAAACAACCATTCCCCCCCCCTGAAATGTACAATATATCTTACATGCAGATTTTTCTACGATGCCAAGTTGTTACAAATGACAACTAAACAAATGTATATTTTACAAATCATCAATATGCTTAATTTATATACAGGCGACAGTTCTACTGATCAGCTCATGCCCCAAAATGCGAAGGCCAGGCCTGAATAAAATCCATTTGAACTTACAACTGCAGCCACTTAACCACTAGAAAAATTATGTACCGATTGATAAAAAAAAAACTTAGGTATCGATAATAAAAGAATGGTTATAGTATTATTATGCAATAGTAGTGCAATGTAGTGATATAGGACTGTTTTGTGGTGGCCTAGCCTACGCAATGCATACAACTGCCCTAAAAATTGTATGGTATGGACTATCACGTATTAATTTAGAAGTCAAACAAAAAACAATCTTTATTACATCTATGTTTGTAATATAATTTTGATAATACTGTTGTATTAAAAAAGCATAATAGGGATGAAGAATTTTTTAACCTTTCCATTATAACTATGGGCATTTTATACGAGAAATATAAGTGCTTGCAGTAAACAGAATGAAAAAAAAAAAAAAAAAAAAAAGAAGAATACTGCAGAATGCACTTTACTGCCATGTTCAATTCACTAAACTGATCATCTGTTCATACACCACCGCGTTTAAAAAAAAAATCTTCAACACCTATCTGTAATATTGATAAACAAAAAAAGGTAGCTTTGAAATCATTATAGTAGCACTGGCTGAACAGCACAAAATCTAATATATGAGTCTGTTAGGATTCAGGTAATAATGGACTTTGGACCATTAATTTAAACCTAGTAAGATGACATAAAATTAAAAATATCAAATGCTTGTTTGTGAAATAATAAAGTATTTAAGATTTTGGAACTAAAAAACGCCCATTAGTGTTCATTTCGTTTTATTAAATATTTCTTTCAATATAAGTTGTTTAAGCAATTTTTAGGGGGAGGGAGGCGTGCTGATGTGGTCTATCTAATTTTACAGAGAATGAGAATTTTTTGT